CAAAACAGAGCGTGCTGCTCCGACCGGCTTTAAAGGGTTAAATAAAAGTCCTGCAGAGTACACGTAGTGACTGTAGACTCAGTTAACATGAAAAAACTTCACTTTCAACATCTCAGGCTGAAGAACTTTCAGCTTAAAAAAATAAATAAGTAAACATGTTGGTTATAGTCAAAGTCCTTTTAGAAAGAAGTCCCAGCACCGCATACTGAAACGCTTCCAGGCAGATATTCTGGAGCTCAGTCACAACTAGGGCTACACTAATCCAGATAAATTTGAAAACGCTGTTTTTGTCTAAAAACGCACTGCGTCCGCACCATCGTTTGCAATCGTTTCTGAACACGATACGTTTATATTCCTGTACTGCGTGAAACGCAAGATGATTCGACCTGCCTCATCTCTGTCTGCCGCTTATTTACCTTCCTGCTCTTTGAAACATCGCAGCAAAATTTTTTTTTTTAATGCACTGACAATGAGGTGGTTGCTGCGAGTAACACAAAAGTACAAAGTTGCAAAAGCGAGTGAGAATTAAAGAATTTGAAGAAAAGCTCTCTGGAGCACGTACAGACTGATATTCATCTTTAATAAGGATATCAAGACAAAACAACTGCAGTGTAATACTGTCGCCATCTTAGTTGAATTGGTCACATGACTGCATCATATGATTAAAATGCCTCATCGTGTCTGAAAGCCTGCGGTTACGCTGTCCACACTGCGACGCGAAAACAGCGTTTTCAAAAGTATCCGCTTTGGAGAGCGTTTTCAAAAAAACGCTGTCTCAGTGTGGAGGAAAAAACAGAGAGAAAAAGATGCGTTTTCAAACAAAAACGTAATAGTGTGGACATGAAATCCTGATCGCAGGGTTAGGGCCTCACACATTGAGCTGTGAGGACCATGAACTAAACTTTTTGGACCGTTTCTCTTAAATACAAACTCACAGAAGTGTCTTTCTTTGCGTTACCTGATGGGCGTGCGTGGGCTGCTGTTGTGTCGGCGTACGTTTCTCGCTCGGGGTTCGAATGAGAAGCCTTCCTTTAGACTCTCGAGGACCGATGGAGCCACGTATGTGAAACCCTAAAAACAGCAGACGAGTGAAGAGCCTTTGACTATCTGAGGCTTCGTTATGTAGCGGACAGAAAAGAAATCTGATGAGGAGAAGAATCTCACAGCGAAGGCGAGCTCTGCGCTGTGGCTGAGCGAAGTATCATCCGGACTGTCCACGGGCGTCTGTCTGGTAAACCTGGTGTCAAACTGGCTCACGTCCTCGTCCGACTGCTGCACGTAGACGCAGACAGAAAAGAATGAGCCATTAATAAAGGTATAAGTTGGCGTGAAGGTAAGACAAAGGCATCGAGCGGTCTGGGAACATCAAAGAGAAACACGCAGCAGGAGGTAGATGGGAAGAGAAGTTAATTTAAAGAAAAAAGGGAGTGGAGACTGCTGAATCAACTCCTCTGGCTTTGAATAAATAAAAGGACTAGATTAACTTGAATAAGAAACGGTGCCCTACCAGCTGTGGCTTATACGGCGGCTCCACTCTCTTATGCAGCAGGTCGTCCCAGTTAACGTGTTTAAAGAAGGCGTGTTTCTGTAAAGGAACAAAAGGACCTGTTCTTAGATTCCTGTGTTCTCGGGGGAACGAGTTCAGGTCCCTTTTGTTTTAAAGCGTCTGCTTTGGTTTAGCAG